ATTATTGGATTTTCTTTAAGTATACCAATCGTTTTATAATAAAACATTACAAATCATTCGCAAACAAAAATGCTTATAAACTCACCAACTTAATTGTTGACACTTTTGAAAATCACTTGTATTCTCAGGAAGCCAGTAGACAGGCATTCAACACTTCTTGAGGGTCGGTGTCGTCGTTTCATGATTTTTAGTTTTCAGTTATTTGTATTCAACTTTTGAGCAAACAAAGTTTGTAAACAATGTAGACTTCAAGTTTCAATCTATGAATGTTTGTGTTGTTATGTTTCCAATTATATTCAACTACCATGATACTATACATACAGTCACTCCATCAACCCCCAGAAGTTTCCGCCATTCTGGTTTGGGGGTGTGACAGCAGTACCCTTGACACGACTGATGAAGAAGGTCATGATCTTTTGTTGGGGGCCTAAGCAGCAGGGCATCATTCGAAATGTTGTGACAGAGGTTGTGCGAGGCGCCGATCTTAGCCATGCTAGAGGGCATGGAGGATTTTGTAGTGTACTGTGATGTGTCCATCTCAGGTTTAGGCACAATATTGAATCAGAGAGGGCACGTTATCTTCTACGCCTTGAGGCAACTGAAGCCTCACGAGGAGAACTACCCGACGCATGACCTGGAGTTGGGGGCGGTAAATTTTTCACTCAATATTTGGCGACACTACCTCTATGGGGTCCGATGTACTATTTATACGGACTACAAGAGTTTGAGGTACCTTATGGATCAGCCGAACCTGAACATGAGGCAGCTTCAGTTGCTGGATGTGGTCAAGGATTACGATTATGAGATTCTCTACCAACGGGGAAGGCCAACATTGTGGCCGATGCGCTTAGTCGCACAACAGCCCCGATCATAGACATTTGCTTGAGGATGACGGTGGTGAATCCATTTTGGAGCAGATCCGAGAGGCTCAGGTTGAGGGTATGAAGGAGGAGTGCTGGAAGTGTGAGCAGATCATAGGCCAGGTGGCGTTGTTTGACTATGACAGCTGAGGGCTGCTGAGCCTGCATGGGAGGGTCTGGGATCTATACTAGGGCAGAGTATGACAGATTCTGATGGATAAGGCCTGCAAGTCTATATTTTCCATCCATCCCGGGGCGACGAAGATGTATATGTTGGATAAGGTTTCTAAGTCCATAACTATTTCTGGTATGTACTTGACCCGACCCGGCATGGTCCATTTGGGTTGCATGGCACCATGCAATTGGATAAACTAAATGAGAGAAATAACGCTTGGAGATTATTAATATATTATAAGTTCTAATATATTAATAATATTATTTGATTAGTTTGATCAAGAATTAATTTAGAATTAATTAAGTGATCAAAAGATAACTAATTAAATATATGGGTTGATTAAGTAAATCATCCATATCTTGTATAGTGGGCTAAAAGGCTCCATGGATCATCAAGTTGGGTTCCACCCATAGGATGCTCCATGGATGCTCCATGGGAGTTACAAACCCATGGGTCATGGAAATGAAGAGTCATGACACATTAGGGTTTAACCCTAGATGTGTCAACACTATATAAGAAGCATAATCTCCACCAAAATCGGTTGCAACAAAGAAATAGAGGGCTTGGCCGATTTGAAGAAGTGAGTATACTCTCATAAGTTCTTCCAAGAGCATTTGGTGTTGTGTGAAGCATTTGAGGCATCACCACTTGGGGTGCTAGGCTCACAAGGTTTCAAGGAACACAAGCAACAACAAGGTAAGTTATTCTATCTATACTTTATGTTAAAATTGTACCCCATGTATGCTAGATAGGAATATAACCTTGGAATTCAACTTTGCATGACAAATTAGACAAACATAGATCCAAGGTTATTAGGGTTGCATGTACACTTAGGAAGTGTTAGAATGCTCAAAAACCCATCAGTGGTATCAGAGCCTAGGCTTGTTTGTTCTTATTTGTGCTTAAAAGTTGAAAAACAAAATCGAAAATTTGCTGTCTGTGATCGGACTCGTCGAGTCTATTGGGGGGACTCGTCGAGTCCATGTGTATCTTCAACCAACTCGGCGAGTCATGTTCATGCACTCGGCGAGTAGGGTCGAATGAGTGCAGAATTTCGATTCAGTTGCTGGAAAATGAATTAGAAACATTACCTAAACTGTTTTAGTAATTGTAAACTTGTTTTGGTGGTGTAATGTTTTGCTAATTCATTTACAACAACTAGTTATCAAAATTACAAAGTTTTATGTAATTTTTGATTATGTTCATATTCATGTTCTTGTTCTTATGATGTTTTAGATTATCATAGGAATTATTTGTAACCTATTTGGTAGTTTAATTCTTGATCATAATGTGTTTTAATGGAGTCCATAACTTATCCTTAAGTTATGGAAAACCAAGAGTCACACTTGAGTTAAAACCATTAAGAAAACACAAGAGTTATAAAAATGAAGAGTCTTCATTTTATGACTCTATTAAACTCATAAGTTACAAGAAATGAAAAAGTTTTGAAAGTTACAAAACTTGCCCTCAAGTTTTGGAACAAGTAAAGTTAAGTTAAAACTTTAGTTCCAACCCCTAGAATTTTAAAAGTTAAAATTCAACCCTTATACTTATATTATGATGATTTAATAATTATATATATATATGTATAAGAACAAGTCGTCTTACCGCTAGTACGCCTCATTCACGAAGCCGGTCTATAAGGTGGGTATAAGGTTGTTGCCTATAAAATGGTGACTTAATGGGTGTATATTCTCACCCACCGCTTGCTTGACTGGTGGAGGGTCGTTAGCCGAACGGGTAAGACAAGGACTTATAAATTCTCATTCAAAGTATGATGAATATATAAAGTAACTAAATGTTTATTAAATTCCCAATCTTAGTTACTTTAGGAAAAATGTGAATAAGGTGCTAATCCATGAAATTACACTTTACACTTTGTCTGAGTCGTTGGTGGAGCGTGTGTGGTTAACCGGCACACTAACTTGGACTTAACAAGGTGGTAAAGGGTGACTTAAGGTTTATTATAGTATCGGTGGAGCGTGTGTGGTTTACCGGCACATCGATTGAGTGATAAATTTAAGGTACCAAGTGATTTGCATGGTTACTTCACACCTCGTTTTGTGATCCTCGGCATCCCAGTCACAAAACCTGGAGGGCACTCCCGAGATTGAAACATGCCTTTGAAAGTTCATTGGATCTCAAAGAATCTAGGAATTTCTAAAACCAATAAAAACTAAATATTTATATTTCGGTTTTCGTGGTGGAAATTGGTGAATCGTCATTCACCTACCTTTCAAATATGGTATAGCTTAGATTATGGCATACCTCTTCTAAGTTATATTATATTGTGATTGGATCCTAGCCTTAATATTACATTTGGGTGTTTTATTAAGGACTCTCTTAAATCTAAACTAAACTTGTTCTTCTTTTCAGATGTCTTCAAATAATGCTTCTGGCTCGAATCCTAATGGCTCCTTTACTCTTATGAGTCTTGTGGGAAAGTCACCTTTGATGGATCCAACTTCAATAAGTGGATCAGAAACATAGGATGATTACCCGCTACGACGACAAAGAATATGTCCTTGACAAGGAGCTTAAGGAAATTGACGAGTCCACTGCAACTCCCCAGGAGATCGCTGACTTTCATACTCATGAAAGAGATGCAACCAAGGTGGCTTGCATCATGTTAGCCACCATGACAGCTGAACTCCAAAAGTCTTATGAAGACTTCTACCCTTATGAAATGCACCAAGATTTGATGGAAAGATACCATCAAAGTGCACGACAAGAGAGGTACGAAGTCATCTGCTCCATGATAACAACCATGATGAAGGACGGAGAGTCCGTCACGAGCCACATGCAGAAAATGCAAAGGTATGTGGATCGGTTGCTGAAGCTCAATGTGAACTTCCCTGAGGAGCTTGCAATAGATATCATTTTGCACTCCTTACCTTCGTGCTATGATCAATTCCGCATGACATATCACATGAACAAGGAAGAGGTCACCCTCAGCAAACTTCAGGGACTTCTCAAGACCGCAGAAACAGGTCTTAAGGGGAAGTCGGTTGCTATCACTCCTACTCCAGAAACAACTCCTGTCTTGGCAATCGGGCAGAGTCGAGGGAGGAAGAGAAAGAGATCTTCAAAGGGTACCAAGGCTCGGACCCTTGATGGCTCTTCTTCAAGTGAGAATGTGGAGCAAGGAAGAATAAACTTAATCATGGGGA